TTACCTCAAATGATAGAGTTAGAAACATACCAGGGAATTCGAATTCAATCCCATCGAGGTGGCATGTACCAATGCCATCTCACTAGTCCCAGTGATCAATTTCTGTTCACAATTGATCGTAATGATAGGACTAAGAACCAAAGGGATCACATAAACCAGACTAGTGTCTGCAAATACTAGCTGATAGAATAAAAAAGGGAGAGAACGATCCAATAGACGTTTCTAAAATAAACTGTAAATCCACTATTAAAGTTGTTAAGATGAACAGGGATGTTTAGGAGTATTTACATGACACATTTATTAGAAATATAAAAGCAAATTTAGTAAATGGAGGAAATTATGAAATGTAACTTTATAATTGTAAAATATAAAACTATAAAGATAATATAAAATTATAGAGACATTTTTTATAGAGAATGAGGTGGCTAACTTTCCAAACCATAATTTGGTTTTATAACTGAAGTTCCCTTCAAAATTTGTCTTTTGGGTTTTTTTTGGTCTTAGGTTAGTAACTTTCAAAAAGTGTTTATGGAATCTTTATATGTAAATAGTAGTTCTTCCTTAATTTAATAAAGGTAAGCATAATTATGTTGGCCATTTCATAAAACTGAATATGATAGCTGAAGTTTTTTTTTTAATATTGTGATGTGTAGTTTTGCTTTTCTTAGGCCTCTTAGACATCTTCTTAGTCTTGATTTTATTGTAATTATCAGTGACAAGGGACCTTTATAATCTTGTTAGTGAATTTTTTTTCTCAGTGGAAAATACACCTTAGAATATCTTTCATATAGGCTCTTAATTAGGAAACCTGTAATTTTACTGTCAATTTTAGACCTTAATAATATACATAAAATAATTCTCAAAATTTTTAAAATTTAGAGTGAACTTTGAAAAATAACATTTTGGGTTTATGGTGCTTGCTTTATTAACTTATCTATATATACCAAAGAGCCTGGAAAACATGTTTTAGTGTGCATATTTTGAGTACAGCTATAGAAAGAAAAACTATTATTGTTAATCCAAATATTGTCATCAGTCAACCTAACTGAACATGCAGCAAGTTACAAGCTCTTGGGTAAATTTTAGAACAATTTTTTGTCTGTAAGTGGCTTTTACTTCTGGGATTTTTTTTTTTTTTTTTTTTTTTTTTTTTGGACAGGCAGAATTAGACAGTGAGAGAGAGAGAGAAAGGTCTTCCTTTCGTTGGTTCACCCTTCAAATGGCCGCTACGGCCGGCGCGCTGTGCTGATCTGAAGCCAGGAGCTAGGTGTTTCCTCCTGGTCTCCCATGTGGGTGCAGGGCCCAAGGACCTGGGCCATCCTCCACTGCCCTCCCAGGCCACAGCGGAGAGCTGGACTGGAAGAGGAGCAACCAGGACAGAATCCGGTGCCCCAACTGGGACTAGAACCCGGTGTGCCGGCGCCGCAGGTGGAGGATTAGCCTAGTGATTTGTGGCGCCGGCCCTTCTGGGGTCTTAAGTTATGCTTGTAAAAATGTAAAATTTGAATGTCTCCCTTTTTAAAATTTTCATTGATATAAATACCTGTTTACCACATCAGCAAATTTGCTTTGTGTGTTGTGTCATAGGTAGATTCTCAAGATCATTCCGAGGGTTGGCAATTTACTAGAAGGACTCAGAGGACTGTGTGTAGTTGTAGTTATGGCTATAGTTTATTACAGTGGAAGAATCCAAAGCAAAATCAGCAAAAGAAAAGATATGTGGGTAGCCAGCGCCGCGGCTCAATAGGCTAATCCTCCGCCTGCAGCACCGCACCCTGGGTTCTAGTCCCGGTCAGGGCGCCGGATTCTGTCCCGGTTGCCCCTCTTCCAGGCCAGCTCTCTGCTATGGCCCGGGAGGGCAGTGGAGGATGGCCCAAGTGCTTGGGCCCTGCACCCGCTTGGGAGACCAGGAGAAGCACCTGGCTCCTGCCTTCGGATCAGCGTGGTTCGCCGGCCGCATGTGCCGGCCATGGTGGCCATTGGAGGGTGAACCAACGGCAAAAGGAAGACCTTTCTCTCTGTCTCTCTTTCTCTCACTGTCCACTCTGCCTGTCAACAAATCAAAACAAAGCAAAACAAAAAAGATACATGGGGCCATGGGATGGTGAGCCTCAAATATTAGCCTTTAATGGTTTTATAAAATTTGGAAAACAATTCTTTGCTGCTGAATTTTGACATCAAGATATCAATTTTCTAATCTACTTATAAATATGATTTAAAAAGTTAAGATACAAAGTCCTAAGCAAACCAGCACAATCTTTCAAGAGTCCTCCCCCAGTGAAATCATACAGGAGATAAAATTCCTCCAGCATTGAATTTTGACAACATGGAAAAATATTGTCTGTAGGGAAGCTCACTTGAGACTTAGTGCCCAGAGTTTTTTGGGGGTGCTGATCATATACGAGAATTCTAGACTCTCCAAAGGAAAGCAGATGTTCAACATAATTCAACATAAATTGTATTGTTTGCACAAACAGTATAGACACAAAGATCCACTCTTACCCATTCCTCTTACCCATTCTGGAAATGGTGGGAACCCTTTCAAAATGTGTTCCTAGGCACTACGCAAATATCAACTTAAGCAGACCTTTTAAAGACAGGCAGTCTCAGCCTGCTCTGTTAACTCTTCTGTATATATGGATGTGTATGGATAGAAGATAAACTAAATCCGCTTGTCTGACGTTGTTAATTACACATTTTTCTGTGTGTATATGCCTTATTTGAAATGCAGGTTAAAAAGAAAGTGGGGTGGGGAGAGAGAGAGCAATCTTCCATCTGCTGGTTCACTTCCCAAATGGCCACAACGGCCAGGGCTGGACCAGGCCAAAGCCAGGAGCCAAAAGCTTCATCCGAGTCTTGTGGGTGGCAGGGCTCTAAGCACTTGGACCATCTTCTTGTGCTTTCTTAGACACATTAGCAGGGAACTGAATCAGGAGTGGAGCAGCTGGGACTCTAATTGCACTCATATGGAATGTGGGCATCGCAGGCAGTGGCTCAGTTTGCTATGTCACACTGCCAGTGCAGTTAATTACAAGTTTGAATTTGAGTTTATATTGACTTGCTTTAATAAGTGAAATAGAAAACGACACCGAAGTGATATCACTTTTTTAAAAAATATATATTTATTTATTTGAGAGAGAGAGGTCTTCTGCCCATTAGTTCACTTCCCAAATGGCCAGGTTGAAGCCTGGAACCAAGAGCTTCATCTGGGTCTCCCACATAGGTGGCAGGGGCCTAAACACTTGGGCCATCTTCTGTTGCTTTTCCCAGGACATTAGCTGGATTGGTCTTAAGAGCATCTGGGACACAAACTGATGCCAGTGTGAGATGCTGGCGTCACAGTTGGTGGCTTTCATGACACCAGCCTCTGTTGTGTAACTTTAAAAGGGAGATTTGAATGCATAGATTTTAGGTAAGTTAAAATTAGCTGCTTTTTGATAAATTGAAATACACTGGAAATTCTTTTTAAAAGAGCTTATATAGGGGCCGGCGCCGTGGCACAGTAGGCTAAGCTTCCACCTGTGGCACCAGCATCCCATATGGGTGCCAGTTCATGTCCCGGCTGCTCCTCTTCCAATCTAGCTGTCTGCTATGGGCTGGGAAAGCAGTAGAAGATGGCTCAGGTACTTCGGCTGCTGCACCTGCATGGGAGATCCAGAATTTCCTGGCTCCGGATCGGCTTAGCTCTGGCTGTTATGGCCATTTGGGGAGAGAACCAAAGGATGGAAGACCTTTCTGTTTTTCTCCCTCTCTCTGTCTGTAACTCTGCCTCTCAAATAAATAGATAAATAAAATCTTTTTTTTTTTTTAAAAAAAGGGCTTATACAGGGCTTTATTTTAGGTATGGATTTCACATGTCATGACAAGTTGTCATTATGAGGATTAAAATCCAAATAGTTTTTTCTTCACAGATTATACTGACAGTGACCTATATGATGGAAACAAATGAAGAAATTTATGTACTTTTTCTGAGTGAAAAATTCCTTTTCTTATAGAGCTAAAAATCGTCACTTTTGTTAATTTGACAACGAAATTCACCTGAAATATTCAGCAGTGCTTTAACAACTGTATTTTTTTCCAATAGCCTCCTTGTGAGAAAGACAATATAGTTTGTTAATAACCATGTAAAAAAATTTGACTCAAATGCTGAGTTTCGTGGATGTTAATAAATGCTGGAGTAGAAATCATGTTGGTTTCTCTTGTGGGAAATTAAAATAAAAAAAAGTCAATGTTTGCCAAATGGAAAAAAAAGACTAACTGTAATGAAACATTTTGATGATTATTTTCTAAAAAATGTTTTTCACGAAAAAATGAAGTTCTAATTGTTTATGACCTTGTGAGTAAAGTGAACAAATTTCTACCGATGTATCAGCCTACTTGTTTATAAGGTTTCCCATTCATCTGTTGATAACATTTATTCTTTGTTGTGATTTAGCAAATATTGTGGCTTGTTATATTTGATTTAATTTAGTGGCAAGGCTGCTGGTATATATTAAGTTAAAAATGTTGATACATACAGTGAAATAATTGCCAGAGTCCATGAATTTTTATTTAAAAAAATAATCTCATTTTGAATTTTGGCTATATTCTTTGTGAGTACAGGAGATGATGACTGTATACCCTGTGCTCAAAATAGTCCTTGGCATATAGTAGGTGCTCAATTATTCACTTACTGAATGATAAGTATATTATCTTATCCTCCCTTTAAAATATGTTTAAAACTTGTAATTTTGAAATTAAATAATTTTCAGAAGTTATTGAAGTAATTTAAAATAACCTCCTTATAGAGATGACTGTTAAATCTAAAATTTTTTATTGTCTGGTAACCAGCAAGTCACATTTGAAGCAAGTTTAATTAATTTTTGAATGTGTTCATGGTCAAATCTGATTATATTACTTTTTTCCATTTAATGTTTTTGATATCAAATGTTAAAATCCCAAAGAGATATAATAAGGTACCCTGTGTGGGGTCATGCTCTATAAGCTAATGTGTTTTTAAGGATGCACAGGAACAGACAAGGAAATGTGCCTCCTATGGATTATGATGGTGATGTCACAGAACAGTTAAATATACGAATTTCATCTGCTGGAAATAAAAGGTATGGTATGTCTCATAAATTCTGCACCTGCCTAAAACTGGCTTACTGAAAAAAAAAAAAAAGGTATGGTATATTAACAGCTTTCCTTATTAGTGAGAAAGGAGATAAAGGGAAAGAAAGGTGAGGAGATAGGTAGTGGTAAATCAAAATTTACAATACCTCACAGCTTTCTTTTGAAGGCAAAATTTGTTGGTTATAAGGTGTGCTAAAGTGTTCTTAGAAAGTCCCTATTATAAAGTAGATAAATGTTTGAAATATCAAAAGGAGAAACAGGCATATAATTTAATGGACTGTAAATCAGTTAAAATATCTTGGGGTCATGATGATGTACCTTGATTAGAAATAAATAAAAAATGACCTGTGATATGATTTTTTTTCAAAACTTTTACTTTCAGCTTATTGAATAGGTAATTTTTATGATTATTTGTAAAATTAGTGCTCATATGTATTTCTGTTAAAAATAAACTATATGTACTTTATTTGGATGTTCTCTTCCTTTTCATAGTTTTTATCATTTGGTAGCTTTCCCATTTCAGAATAAACAGTTCTGAATCTATAGTATATAATGACGATAATATTGTCATGTGTCAAGAAAGGTATCTTTTTTTCTTTGAAAACATGTAATATATAAATAGTACTTTAAAAGAAGATAATTTGTTTTTGGGTTTTAATTAAGTTTTTTTCTGAGAGTTTCCTGTTTTTCCTCATTTCTATATTCCATGAAAAGTGGTTTTCAGAATTGGTTTTCTTTGTCAAATGTGTTCATAGGTCACGCTGTCTCCTTTTTTAGGACTTATTTATGTGTACTTAAATTCATTTCCCTTACTGGGGTGATGACTCACCTGAAAAGGAATTTTATTTGAGAGCTGATAGAGCCTGAAGCAGGTTGAAGAAAAAGAGCATTTATTTTATTTTTTTATTTTTTATTTTTTTTTTTTATCTTTTATTTAATGAATATAAATTTCCAAAGTACGTCTCATGGGTTACAATGGCTTTCCCCCCCATACCGTCCCTCCCACCCACCACCCTCCCCTTTCCCACTCCCTCCCCCCTTCCATTCACATCAAGATTCATTTTCGATTATCTTAGTATACAGAAGATCAGCTTAGTATACCTTAAGTAAGGATTTCACCAGTTTGTTCCCACACAGAAACATAAAGTGAAAAATAATAGATGATTTTTTTTTAAATGATGATGAAATCAGATCAGACCTATTGTCATGTTTAATCCCAGTGGGAGTCAAGTTGGGAATTGATAGTTTCTTTCTTTTTTTTTTTTTTTTAACAGAAGATCAGTTTAGTGTACATTAAGTAAAGATTTCAATCGTTTGCACCCCCATAGAAACACAAAGTGAAATATACTGTTTGAGTACTCGTTATAGCATTAAGCCTCAGTGTACAGCACATTAAGGACAGAGATCCTACATGGGGAGTAAGTGCACAGTGACTCCTGTTGTTGACTTTACAAATTGACACTCCTGTTTATGGCATCAGTAATCTCCCTATGCACCAGTCATGAGTTTCCAAGGCTATGGAAGCCCCTTGAGTTCTCCGACTCTTATCTTGTTTAGACAAGGTCATAGTCAAAGTGGAGGTTCTCTCCTCCCTTCAGAGAAAGGCACCTCCCTCTTTGAAGACCTGTTCTTTCCACTGGGATCTCACTCACAGAGATCTTTTTGCCAGAGTGTCTTGGCTTTCCATGCCTGAAATACTCTCATGGGCTTTTCAGCCAGATCCGAGTGCCTTTAGGGCTGATTCTGAGGCCAGAGTGCTATTTAGGACATCCGCCATTCTATGAGTCTGCTGAGTATCTCACTTCCCATGTTGGATCACTCTCCCCTTTATTTATTCTATCGGTTAGTGTTAGCAGATACTAGACTTGTTTATGTGCTCCCTTTGACTCTTAGTCCTTTCATTATGATCAATTGTGAACTGAAATTGATCACTTGGAATAGTGAGATGGCATTGGCACATGCCACCTTGATGGGATTGAATTGGAATCCCCTAGTATGTTTTCAACTCTACCAATTGGGGCAAGTCAGCCCGAGCATGCCCCAAATTATACATCTCTTCCCTCTCTTATTCCCACTTTTATGTTTAACAGGGATCACATTTCAGTTAATTTTCAACACTTAAGAATAACTGTGTGATAATTACAGAATTAAACCAGTCATATTAAGTAGAACAGAGAAAAAAAAAATACTATGAGGGATAATGTATTAAGTTGTCCATTAGCAGTCAGGGCTATGCTGATCAAGTCACCATTTCTCATAGTGTCCATTTCACTTCAGGAGGTTTCCTTTTTGGTGTTCAGTCAGTTGTCACCGATCAGGGAGAACATATGGTATTTGTCCCTTTGGGACTGGCTTACTTCACTCAGCATGATGTGTTCCAGATTCCTCCATTTTGTTGCAAATGACTGGATTTCGTTGTTTCTTACTGCGGTATAGTATTCTAAAGAATACATATCCCATAGTTTCTTTATCCAGTCTACCATTGATGGGCATTTAGGTTGGTTCCAGGTCTTGGCTATTGTGAATTGTGCTGCAATAAACATTAGGGTGCAGACCGCTTTTTTCTTTATCAATTTAAACTCCTTTGGGTAAATTCCAAGGAGTGGGATGGCTGGGTCGAACGGTAGGGTTATATTCAGGTTTCTGAGGAATCTCCAGACTGATTTCCATAGTGGCTTGACCAGTTTGCATTCCCACCAACAGTGGGTTAGTGTCCCTTTTTCCCCACATCCTCGCCAGCATCTGTTGTTGGTAGATTTCTGTATGTGAGCCATTCTAACCGGGGTGAGGTGAAACCTCATTGTGCTTTTGATTTGCATTTCCCTGATTGCTAGTGACCTTGAACATTTTTTCATGTGCCTGTTGGCCATTTGGATTTCCTCTTTTGAAAAATGTCTATTGAAGTCCTTGGCCCATCTCTTAAGTGGGTTGTTGGTTTTGTTTTTGTGGAGTTTCTTGATCTCTTTGTAGATTCTGGTTATTAACCCTTTATCTGTTGCATAGTTTGCAAATATTTTTTCCCATTCTGTTGGTTGTCTCTTCACTCTCCTGACTGTTTCTTTTGCAGTACAGAAACTTCTCAATTTGATGCAATCCCAATAGTTGATTTTGGCTTTGACTGTCTGTGCCTCCCGGGTCTTTTCCAGAAATTCTTTGCCTGTGCCAATATCTTGAAGGGTTTTTCCAATGTTCTCTAATAACTTAATGGTGTCAGGACGTAGATTTAGGTCTTTAATCCACGTTGAGTGGATTTTTGTGTAAGGTGTAAGGTAGGGGTCTTGCTTCATGCTTCTGCACGTGGAAATCCAGTTTTCCCAGCACCATTTATTGAATAGACTGTCCTTGCAAAAGAGCATTTATTTTAATTATTTATTTATTTGAAAAGCAGAATGAGAGAGACAAATATACATAGGCACTCACACGTATCTCCTATCTGCTGCTTGGCTTCCCACTTGCTGCAACAGTTGGAACTGGTCCAGACTGAAGCTGGGAGCCAGGGACTCCATCTGGGCCTTCCATTTGGGTTTTAGGGACTGGGTTTCTGAACCATTATCTGTGGCTTCCCAGGTACATTAGCAGGAAGCTTAATCAGAAGTGAAGGTGGAACTTGATCTCAGGCACTGTGTTATGGGATTTGGCTGTTCCAAGCAGCTGCTTAACCCACTTAATGCCTGCCTTGAAAAAAGCCTTTATATTTGTAGTCTTGAATACATTGGAATCTCAGTGTATAAAAGAGATAGAATGTCATGATTTTACCTTCCTGTTAAAAATTTATAAATATTATAGTGTCCATAGAAATTTGAGAAGACAACAACTCAAATTACATTTTACTATATAAGTTTTTGCTTCTTACAAATGATCTGGATTTTAATTCTTTCTTTTTCTTTGGTTTTAGTGCCCAAGATAATGCACCATCCAAATCTGCTAATCGAGACATCTGTAGTCCTTTTGCAGGGATGCTCTTTGGTGTGTATGAAACTTGATTAGATTTTGACAGTGTTTTGTTTTAAAAATATTTTATTAGATTTTTGCTGAATGTTTTGTAAAAGGCTTTTAGTGAGACTGAGTTGTAATTAATACTTATTGATTGCTTACTTTTTAAAAGTTTTTTTAAAAGTTATTTTATTTGAAAGTCAGACAGAGGGACAGAGACTGATCTTCCATCCACTGGTTCATTTTCCAAATTCCTACAATAACTAGGGCTGAGCCAGGCAAAAGCCAGGAATTCAATCTGGGTCTCCCAAGTGGGTGGCAGGGACTCAAGTATGTGAACCATTACTTTGCTGCCTCCCAGGTTGCACATTAATAGGAAGTTGAATCAGAAATGGAGTCACTGGGATTCAAACCAGGCACTCCAATATGAGTTGTGGATGTCCCAAGCACTATCCCAAATACTTGTCCCTGAAGTGCTGGCTTTATGTTAGCCATTGTGCTAAGCATTTTAGCATATGTTATATATATTCTATGTAAAAATCCAAAGCTAAATAGTTGATTTAGTGATGTGCTTTCTGTAAATAAGTGAAATATTAGGTCTCAGTAATAAACTTTATTTTTAAAAATTTTTTTAAAGAGTTATTTATTTGAAAGAGTTACAGAGAGGGAGAAGGAGAGTCTGAGAGGAGAGGTCTCCCATCCACTGGTTCATTTCCCAAATGGCCTTAATGGTTGGGACTGGGCCAGGCTGAAACTAGGAGCCAGGAACTTCTTCTAAGTCTCCTACATGGGTGGAAGGGACCCAAGCACTTGAACCAGTCTCCTCTGCTTTTCCTAGGCCATTAGCAGGGAGCTTGTTGGGAAGTGTAGCACCCTGGACACGAACCAGCTCCCAATGGGACACCAGCATTGTGGGCTTTACCTGCTGCGCTGCAATGCTGGCCGCACAATAAACTTTTAATTTCATGTTTTATTAGTACTTGTTGTAATGTGGCTATATCATATATTGTGTTATATATGATAGCTTTTTCTTTTTTTATTTCTTTAGCTAATACAAAATTACCTTTTAGTTTAGTTCAGTTTCTTTGAACGAAGCTATTTTTTCTTCTGTTGTTTGCATGTATTTCCTTTTTTTAAATTATTTAATTCTGTTTTTCGTGAACTGTTAAAAAATGGAACATATGTGGCAGAGGCCTTGAGCTATCTTCTGCTGCTTTCCCAGATACATTAGCAGGGAACTGGGTTGGAAGTAGAGCCACTAGGACTCAAACTGACACTCTTATGTGGGGGATGCATGTTCAAGTGGCTTTTCAACCTTCTGCGCCACTACACTGGCCCCTCTGCCTTTTTTCTAACAGTAATAAACCTTTGCTTTGTGTTTTACTTTGTATGAGTGCAGTATGCTGAATCCAAGCTAGTTTTCTGCCTTTCAAGAGGACATTAAGGTTTTTACCTTATATGAGATAAATATCCAGAAACTGGGCATGTTTTGTGCTTGAATGCCACAGAAGGGTCTGTTGTAGGTTTCTTTTCTTTTTTTTTTTTTTTTTTTTGACAGGCAGAGTGGACAGTGAGAGAAAGAGAGACAGAGAGAAAGGTCTTCTTTTACCGTTGCTTCACCCTCCAATGGCCGCTGTGGCCGGTGCACCGCGCTGATCTGAAGCCAGGAGCCAGGCACTTCTCCTGGTCTCCCATGCAGGTGCAGGGCCTAAGGACTTGGGCCATCCTCCACTGCACTCCCGGGCTACAGTGGAGAGCTGGCCTGGAAGAGGGGCAACTGGGACAGAATCCAGCGCCCCGACTGGGACTAGAACCTGGTGTGCCGGCGCCGCTAGGCGGAGGATTAACCTAGTGAGCCGCGGCGCCGGCCTATTGTAGGTTTCTTGTATCACCCTATCTCACTGTTTCTTGTATCACCCTATCTCACTGTTTCTTGTGAGCATTTGGTGGAGGTTAGCACATGTATTCAGATTCCTCTTCTGTGAGACTTACAAGTTCTTTTTTTTTTTTTTTTTTTTGATAGGCAGAGTGGACAGTGAGAGAGACAGAGAGAAAGGTCTTCCTTTTGCCGTTGGTTCACCTTCCAATGGCTGGCACACCATACCGATCCAGAGGCAGGAGCCAGGTGCTTCTCCTGGTCCCGTGGGGTGCAGGGCCCAAGCACTTGGGCCATGCTCCACTGCACTCCCGGGCTTCTTTTTTCCTCATATTTCTATTTCCTTTTTAAAAATTGATTTATTTTTGTATTTATTTGAGAAGCAGATAAACAGAGAAAGAGACAGGCAGAGATAAAGATAGGGAAAGCTTGCATCTGTTGATTCATTCCCCAAATGTTGCAACAGCTGGAACGGGGCATGGCTAAATCCAAGAGCTGGGAATGCAGTCAAGGTCTCCCAGATGGGTGGCAGGAACATTGTCACTGCCTCCCAGGATTTGCAGTAGCAGGAAGCTGGAGTCAGGAGTCGAGCCAGAACTTGAACCCAGTCACTCTGATATGGGGTACTGGTTGGGACATGTGGGGTCTTGGTGTCCCTACCAGCATTTTAACCACTAGGTAGGATACCTGTTCCTTATGTGTCCTATTTTTGCTTAAGTACTTGGGTGTAGGTATACTAGCTATTTTAACATTCTTATTTATTCCATCATCATTCATGTGCTTTTTCTTTTTAGTAACTTTCTACCTGCTATGATTTACTCATTGTATTACTTTTCTATTGCTTTATTACAAACTGCCATAAACCTAGTGGTTCAAAACACCCCATATTATCAAGATTAATTAATTGAAAAGACAGAGTGACAGAGATCTTCCAGAGATACTCCATTTTCTGGTTCACTCTCTAAATGCTCAGAGCAGCAAGGTCCTGGTTAGGCTAAATCTAGGAGTGAGGAACTCCACCCTAGTGTCTCACATGGGTAGCACAGGCCCAAGTATTGGGCTGTTTCCCGCTGCCTTGTGAGGTGCATTTTTAGAGAGTTGGATCTGAAGAGGTGTAGCCAAGACTCAAAGGGTCACTCTGGTATGGGATGTTGCCATTGCAAGCAGTGACTTAACCTGCTGTGTCACAATACTAGTTCCCTCCATATTTATCATCGACCATTTCTATGGGTAAAGAATCTGTGTGTGATTTAGTTGAGTCCTTTGCTGACAGTCTCAAAAGGCTTTTACTTGAGGTGTCATCCAGACAGTTTTTTTGGAGGCTTGAGTATGGAAGAAACTGCTTCCAAGCTCATTCAGGTTGCTGGCAGAATTCTTTTTGTTTTTTTTTTTTTTGGAAAACTGTTATTTAATAAATATAAATTTCGAAAGTACAACTTGAGGATTATAGTGGTTTTTCTTCCCATAACCACCCTCCTACCCACAAACCATCCCATCTCCTACTCCCTCTCCCATCCCATTCTTCATTAAGATTCATTTTTAATTATCTTTATATACAAAAGATCAACTCTATACTGAATAAAGTTTTCAACAGTTTGCACCCACAGACACACAAAGTTTAAAGTATTGTTTGAGGACTAGTTTTACTGTTAATTCTCATAGTACAATACATTAAGGACAGAGGTCCTACATGGGGAGCAAGTGCACAGTGACTCCTGTTGTTGATTTAACAATTGACACTCTTATTTATGACGTCAGTAATCACCCAAGGCTCTTTTCATGAGCTGCCAACGCTATGGAAGACTCTTGAGTTCACAGACTCTGACCTTAATTAGAAAAGACCATAATAAAAATGGAAGTTCTCTCCTCCCTTCAGAGAAAGGTACCTGGCCCGTTCTTTCCATTGGGATCTCACAGAGATTTTTTTCATTTAGGTCGTTTTTTGCCACAGTGTCTTGGCTTTCCATGCCTGAGAAATTCTCATGGGCTTTTTAGCCAGATCTGATTGCCTTAAGGGCTTATTCTGAGGCCAGAGTGCTGTTTAGGGCATTTGCCATTCTCTGAGTCTACTGTGTATCCCGCTTCCCATGTTGGATTGTTCTCTCCTTTTTAATTATATCACTGGTCTTATTGATGTGATCCCTTTGACACTTAATGCTATCTTTGTGATCAATTATGAACTTAAACTGATCACTTTAGTAAGATGGCATTGGTACCTGGCAGAATTCATTTATTTGTGCCTCTGTAATTAAGGGCCCTGACTTTTTACTGGATGCTGTCTGGAAGCTACCCACAATTCCTAGAGGCTGTTTGCCATTCTCTACCATGTAGGCTTTCTCATCTGTCTGCTTGCTTTTTAGTGCCTGCAAAGAGATTCTCCAGAATCAGAGATTCTCCAAAATCCTTCTTCTAGGGGCTTTCACCTGATACTAGTAGACCTACCTAATATAATCTCCCTTTTGATGACTTCAAACTAACTTTACATGGTACCTTAATTATATCTGCAGTGTTTTCCATATTTTAATGTATAGAAGCAAGTCACAAGTCCCAGTCACACTCAAGAAAAGGGGGTTATACAGGGAATGAACACCAGGAGGTAGGGCTCATATATATGATTTCAAAATAATTTTTGCATTACAATTATCTCATCTTTTAATTTTACTTTTCCATGAACTTTGTAAAGTACCCTTGTAGGAGCCATCTTTGAATTTTGCCAACTATAGTCACATTTTGTTACTAGTAACTAATTTTGTCTTTTTGCATCTTATTTTTAAACTTACTTAGGGACATCTAGAATAGCCTCAATTCTAGGGAATAGTTCAGCCTCACTGCTGCAGGATTATTGACCTTTTCTGGACTTCTTCCTGAAAATCCTGGCGATCACAGAGAACTCTATATATTAGCTGGTTGGAGCTTGAATTTCTCTCCTTTGAGTTTTGTGAATTGTTCAGTTTTTATTTCCTGTTTAGTTTCCTGAATGGATTTTCCTCTGTGAATGCACTGACTAGTACACAGCTAAGTTTGAAGGGATCCCCTTGTGGATTTCTGGAATTCTTTTTATGCTTCCTTAACTTCTAACCATTTTAGCCTTGCTGAATTTTGACCTCTGTCTGTTCAATTTAGGATAGTTTTCTGGCTTTCTTTGGGTTCTCTTTCCTTTTACCCTGTAAATTGCAGTATCCAAAAAAGTTATCTTGCTCACTTTTTTAGATTTTAATGATGGAATGTTAAGTCTTGTGCTTGTTACTCCATCAAGGTCAGAAGTGGCATGGAGATAGCTACATTGATTGTAAAAATACTATTTATATAATTCATGTTGCCTTTATTCTTACTGGACCAGCTTTTACCCATTGGTGGTTGGGAGACCAGTTAAGGCAGTGGAGAAAATACTCTCAGTTGCATTTTGATAACTTGTGTTTTATATACTGTTTCAAATTGTATAAATCTGGATTGAGTTTATTTTGTGATATTAATACATACAATAATATCTCTGCATTTTAAGTAAGAAAATATGAACAAAGTTACAGTGAAATTTTGGGCTCATCAGGCCCTTAACAGAAAATGAAGTGTAGCAGTTAAATTTGAGATATTCATTTTGCATGGACTTGTTAAACTTAAGGAGTTTCTAGAAGATGTTAGTAGAGATACTATGCAGACTATTAGAAATAAAATTATGGAGATTAGAATATTCTATTAAAGTTTCTTAGAGATTTGGAAATTACTTATCTATTTTGTGTTCGGTGCATGGTAGATACTCCTAAATTATGAAATTAATTGAAGAGACACTGTTATATGTGATTTTCTCCTTCTATATTTCTTGTAACTTTAGTAATTCCTCTTTGATATAGTAAAAAATGGAGTTTCAGAGCTGGCATTGTGGCACAGCAGGTTAAGCTGCCACTTGCAGTGATGGCTTTCCATATGAGTGCTAGTTCAGAAGTGCTGGCTGCTCCACTTCCTATCCAGTTCCCTGCTTGTGTACCTACAAAAGCTGCAGAAGATGGCCAAAGTCCTGGGTCCTGACACCCAGGTGGGAGACCTGGATTGAATTCCATGCTCCTGGCTTTGGCTTAGCCCAGCCCTGGCCCCTGCGGTCATTTTGAGAGTGAACCAGAGGATGGAAGATCTTTCTTTGTCTCTCTCTCTCTGCCTTTCAAATAAATAAAATAGATCTTTTTAACAAATAGATTACCTTTTTTACTTGAATTTCTAGTTTCATGTCATACTCAAGAATTAAGGCTGCTTTTTTGTTTTGTTTTACGTAGGAGGTGAAGATAGAGAAGTTATTCAGAGAAGGAAAGAAAAATATAGACTGGAGCTATTGGAACAAATGGCTGAACAACAGAAGAACAAGAGACGGTAATGAAAGGTTTGCAGTCACCAGACGTGTTTGAACTTTAAAATATGCTTATGTAAAATAACATGATGATAAAATAAGTGTGTTTCCTTTTTTCCTTCATACTATTTGTTGAACTCTACTTAGTGTAGGGTTAATCTTATGAGTATAAAGTAAACTGAAAATAGATCTTTGTAAAAATTAAGAGTGGGAGTAGGAGAGGGTGGAGGAGGGGAGAGAGCATGGGCAGGAGAGAGTGTAAGGTGGGATATCACTATGTTCATAAAACTGTATATATGAAATATAGGAAATTTGTATACCTTAAAATTTTTTTTAACTTTTATTTAATGAATATAAACTTCCAACGTACAGCTCATGGATTACAATGGCTTTTTCCCCCCCATAAATTCCCTCCCACCTGCAGCCCTCCCATCTCCCACTCCTTCTCCCCTTCTAGTCACATCAAGATTCATTTTCAATTCTCTTTATATACAGAAGATCAATTTAGCATATATTAAGTAAAGCTATCAACAGTTTGCACCCACACAGAACACAAAGTGAAAAATACTGTTTCAGTACAGGTTATAGCATTAAATCATGATGTAGAGCACATTAAGGACAGAGATCCTACATGAGGAGTAAGTGCACAGTGACTCCTGTTGTTGACTTAACAAATTGACACTCTTGTTTATGGCGTCAGTAATCACCCTAGGTTCTTGTCATGAGTTGCCAAGGCTATGGAAGCCTTTTGAGTTCTCCGACTCTGATCAAATTTAGGCAAGGTCATAGTCAAAGTGGAAGTTCTCTCCTCCTTTCAGAGAAAGGTACCTCCTTCTTTGATGACCTGTTCTTTCCACTGGATCTCACTCGCAGAGATCTTTCATTTAGGTAATTTATTTATTTTATTTATTTGTTTGTTTATTTTTGCCACAGTGTCTTGGCTTTCTATGCCTAAAATACTCTCATGGGCTTTTCAGCCGGATCTGAATGCCTTAAGGGCTGATTCTGAGGCCAGAGTGCTGTTTAGGACATCTGCCATTCTGTGAGTCTGCTATGTATCCTGCTTCCTGTGTTGGATCATTCTCTCCCTTTTTGATTCTGTCAGTCAGTATTGGCAGACACTAGTCTTGTTTATGTGATCCCTTTGACTCTTAGTCCTATCATTATGATCAATTGTGAACAGAAATTGATCACTTGGACTAGTGAGATGGCATTAGTACATGCCACCTTGATGAGATTGAGTTGGAATCCTGTGGCACATTTGGGACAAGTCCAATTGAGCATGTCCCAAATTGTACATCTCTTCCCTCTCTTATTCCCACGCTTATATTTAACAGGAATCACTTTTCAGTTTAGTTTCAACACTTAAGAATAATTGTGTATTAATTACAGAGTTCAATCAATAGTATTAAGTAGAACCAAAAAAATACTAAAAGAGATAAAGTATTAAGTTGTTCATCAACAGTCAGGGCAAGGGCTAATCAAGTCACCGTTTCTCATAGTGTTCATTTCACTTCAACAGGTTTCCTTTTTGGTGCTCAGTTAGTTGTCACCGATGAGAGAGAACATATGATATTTGTCCCTTTGGGACTGGCTTTTTTCACTCAGCATGATGCATGATGTTTTCCAGATTCCTCCATTTTGTTGCAAATGACCAGATTTCAGTTTCTTTTTTTTTTTTTTTTTACTGCTGCATAGTATTCTATAGAGTACATATCCCATAATTTCTTTATCCAGTCTACTGTTGATGGGCATTTAGGTTGATTCCAGGTCTTAGCTATTGTGAATTGAGCTGCAATAAACATTAAGGTGCAGACCACTTTTTTGTTTGCCAATTTAATTTCCTCTGGGTAAATTCTAAGGAGTGGGATGGCTGGGTTGAATGGTAGGGTTATATTCAGGTTTCTGAGGAATCTCCAGACTGACTTCCATAGTGGCTTAACCAGTTTGCATTCCCACTAACAGTGGGTTAGTGTCCCTTTTTCCTCACATCCTTGCCAGCATCTGTTGTTGATAGATTTCTGAATGTGAGCCATTCTAACTGGGGTGAGGTGAAACCTCATTGTGGTTTTGATTTGCATTTCCCTGATTGCTAGTGATCCTGAACATTTTTTCATGTGTCTGTTGGTCATTTGGATTTCCTCTTTTAAAAAATATCTATTAAGGTCCTTGGCCCATCTCTTAAGTGAGTTGTTTGTTTTGTTGTGTGGAGTTTCTTGATCTCTTTGTAGATTCTGGTTATCAACCGTTTATCTGTTGCATAGTTTGCAAATATTTTTTCTCATTCTGTCAGTTGCTTCTTCACTTTCCTCACTGTTTCTTTTGCAGTACAGAAACTTCTCAATTTGATGCAATCCCAATAGTTAATTTTGGCTTTGACTGCCTGTGCTTCAGGGGTCTTTTCCAAGAAGTGTTTGCCTGTGCCAATATCTTGCAGGGTTTCTCCAATGTTCTCTAATAATTTGATGGTGTTGGGTCGTGGATTTATGTCTTTAATCCATGTTGAGTGAATTTTTGTGTAAGGTGTAAGGTAGGGGTCTTGCTTCATGCTTCTGCACGGGAAATCCAGTTTTCCCAGCACCATTTATTGAATAGACTGTCCTTGCTCCAGGAATTGGTTTTAGATCCTTGATCAAATATAAGTTCACTGTAGATGTTTGGGTTGCTTTCTGGTGTTTCTATTCTGTTCCATTGGTCTATCCATCTATTTCTGTACCAGTACCAAGCTGTTTTGATTATAATTGCCCTGTAGTATGTCCTGAAATCTGGTATTGTGATACCTCAGGCTTTGTTTTTGTTGTACAAGATTGCTTTAGCTATTCGAGGTCTCCTGTGTCTCCATATGAATTTCAGCCTTATTTTTTCCAGATCTGAGAAGAATGTCTTTGGTATTTTGATTGGTATCGCATTGAATCTATAAATGGCTTTTGGGAGAATGGACATTTTGATGATGTTGATTCTTCCAATCCATGAGCATGGAAGATTTTTCCATTTTTTGGTATCCTCTTCTATTTCTTTCTTTAAGATTTTGTAATTCTCATCGTAGAGATCTTGAACGTCCTTGGTTAAGTTTATTCCAAGGTATTTGATTGTTTTTGTGGCTATTGTGAATGGGATTGATCTTAGAAGTTCTTTCTCAGCTGTGGCATTGCCTGTGTATACCAAGGCTGTTGATTTTTGTGCATTGATTTTATATCCTGCTACTTTGCCAAACTCTTCTATTAGTTCCAATAGTCTCTTAGTAGAGTTATTTGGGTCCCCTAAATAATCATATTATTTGTAAAGAGGGATAGTTTGACTTCTTCCTTCTTGATTTGTATTCCTTTGATTTCTTTTTCTTGCCTGATGGCTCTGGCTAAAACTTCCAGAACTATGTTCAATAGCAGCGGTGAGAGTGGGCATCCCTGTCTGGTACCAGATCTAAGTTGAAATGCTTCCAGCTTTTCCCCATTCAACAGGATGCTGGCCGTGGGTTTTTCATAAATTGCTTTGATTGTATTGAGGAATGTTCCTTCTATACCCAGTTTGCTTAGAGTTTTCACCATGAAAGGGTTGTTGAAATTTAGCAAATGCTTTCTCTGCATCTATTGAGATAATCATATCAGTTTTCTTCTGCAGTTTGTTAATGTGGTCTATCACATTGATTGATTTGTGAACATTGAACCATCCCTGCGTACCAGGGATAAATCCCACTTGGTCTGGGTGGATGATCTTTCTGATGTGTTGTTGTTTTCTATTGGCGAGAATTTTATTGAGGATTTTTGCGTCTATGTCCATTAGGGATATTGGTCTGTAATTCTCTTTCAGTGCTGCATCTTTCTCCGGCTTAGGGATTAAGGTGATGGTGGCTTCATAGAAAGAATTTGGGAGGATTCCCTTTTTTGATTGTTCTGAAGAGTTTGAGAAGAATTGGAGTTAGTTCTTTAAATGTCTTGTAGAATTCAGCAGTGAATGCATCTGGTCCTGGGCTTTTCTGTGTTGGGAGGGCTTTTATTACTGTTTAAATTTCTGTCTCAGTTATGGGTCTGTTTAGGTTTTCTACGTCTTCCTGGTTCAATTTAAGTAGGTTGCATGTGTCCAGGAATCTATCCATTTCTGATAGATTTCCCTGTTTGCTGGCATACAAGTCCTTGTAGTAATTTCTCATGATTCTTTTTATTTCTGTGGTGTCTGTTGTTGCATTTCCTTTTTCATCTCTGATTTTATTGATTTGGGTCTTGTCTTTTTTTAGTTAGTTGGGCCATTGGGGTGTCAATTTTGTTTATTTTTTCAAAAAACCAGCTCCTTGTTTGGCTGATTTTTTGTAATTTTTTGTGGATTCAATCCTGTTGATTTTTTCTCTGATTTTAATTATTTCTCTTCTCCTGCTAGATTTGGGTCTGGTTTGCTGCAGATTTTCTAGATCCTTGAGATGAATTGAAAGCTCATTTATTTGGTGCCTTTCCAATTTCTTGATGTAGGCACCTATTGCTATAAACTTTCCTCTCAACACTGCTTTTGTCGTATCCCATACGTTTTGATATGTTGTGTTGCTATCCTCATTTCCAGAAAGTTTTTGATTTCTCTTGATTTCTTCTATGACCCATTGTTCATTCAGGAGCATGTGTTTGCATACTCTCTAGGGATTCCTGAGTTGCTAATTTCCATTTTCCTTCCACTGTGGTCTGAGAAGCTGCATGGTATGATTCTAATTCTTTTGAATTTGCTGAGACTTGCTTTATGGCCTAGTATGTGGTCAATCCTAGAGAAGGTTCCATGCACTGCTGAGAAGAATGTAAATTCTTTAAATGTAGGCTTATGTTCTCTCGTTTATGTCACAGAGTGGACAGTGAGAGAGAGACAGAGAGAAAGGTCTTCCTTTTCCATTGGTTCACCCTCCAATGGCCACCGCAGCAGAGAGCTGGCCTGGAAGAGGGGCAACCGGGACAGATTCCGGTGCCCCGACCAGGACAGAACCTGGTGTGCCGGCGCCACAAGGCGGAGGATTAGCCTAGTGAGCTGTGGCACCGGCTTGTATACCTTAAAATTTAAAAAATGCTTTTCCCAGTGCAGTTTTTGATTTGTGAATGATTTATATTCTAGTTTGTAAATTGTATTCAATCAGCAAAATAAATACTATATAAGTATTTGTTTTGTTTATAGTAGGTGACAAGTGAGACTGTATATGACAGTACCTTAGAAAGTTTGTGGAAAGATGGAATAAAAGTAAGTTCAGGGGCTGGTGTTGTGCTGTAGTGGGTTAAGCTGCTGCCTACAACATGAACATCCCATATGAGCACTGTTTTAGTCCTGGCTGCTTCACTTGTGATCCAGCTCCCTGCTAATGCACCTGGGAAAGCAGTGCAAGATGGCTGAAACACTTGGGCCCCTGCCACTCATCGGAGACCCAGAGGAGTTCTAGGCTCCTGACCCCAGGCATTTAAGTCATTTAGGGGAGTAAACCAGTGGATGAAGATCTTGTTCACCGTTCTCTGTAACTCTTTGTTTCAAATAAATACATTTTTATAAAGAAAAAACATAAGTTATTTTACAGCAAAAAATTTGGGAAATCTGTACATAGTTTTTTCATAGTATGTATTTTCCATGAACATTTTGAAGGCCGTTTATGTGCTTGGATTTAAAAAAGTTTTTTTTACAGCAAAATAAATTTATCTTTTCATTCTTTTCATTCCATTTTTCACAAGTTTCTACAGTACTCTGATATATTCTATAGCAGACCTTTTACTTTACTAACTCATTTAGAATAGCATTGAATGTTATCTATATGCTCTTTGGATTGTACAGTTTCAAATATAAACATTTTGTTTTTAAATTTGAAATCACAAGTGCACATATATTCAAAATAAAAATAATCATAAATTACATGTATTTGTATTGAATGCAAGTCTCAGTATTTGTAATCTTCCTTATAAAAATACTTATGAATTAGTTTAGTTTAGGAATAGATACATTGATTTGAAAGAATTTGAGACCTATCACCTTGTAATTTTGCCTTTTCTATCTTGAAGATGTTATTTGCTCTCTGATATTACCCATCTTTAGCCTTATTTTCTTAGAAAGTCTTATTAGAAAATATGTAGTTATTTTTCAATTTTTATACTTCTTTTTAAACTGAAAATGTCATGTACTCTAAAGAAGGTTATTGTTTCACAAAGTAGAGAGTTTGTTTTATTTTCCTGTTTTGTGTTGTGTGGAATTGTTTACTTTTTGAAGTAATCCAGGTGCTGGCTTAGAGATTCTTACTCTGTCAGTTAAATGTGAATTCTAGTTTACTTTTCATCAAGTCAGGAAATTTGTTTTTCAGTATTATTGAAGGCTTTATTGTTAGTTAAAAGAGTTACTTGTATTTGGAAATGCCTTACAGACTTTGTATATAAGGTTGTTTCAATGATAATTATAATTTTAATAGTTTTTACTATAACATCTTATTATATAAGCTTTAATTTTTTTTTTTTTTCCAGAGAAAAAGATTTAGAACTCAGGGTTGCAGCTTCTGGAGCACAAGATCCTGAGAAATCGGTAAGGGTTCCTGGCATCTTCTAATGTTTAACCTTTAATTGAGATAAACCTCAAATGTTGTGGCAGATTGGGGCAATGTAATACAGAATGGATTGATTTGAAAAAATAAAAAAAATATAAAAAGAATAGATTGATTTGAACAGTGATAAATTGAATTTGTTTTTTGTATAAATAAACCTTTTTTTTTTTTAAGATTTTACTTATTTATTTGAGAGAGAGTTACAGAGAGGGCGAGACAGAGAGAAAAGTCTTCCATCTGCTGGTTCACTCCAGAAATGGCCATAATGGCTGGAGCTGAGCCAATCCGGAGCTAGGAACCGGGAGCTTCTTCTGGGTCTCCCATGTGGGTGCAGGGGCCCAAGAACTTGAGCCATCTTCCAGTGCTTTCCCAGGCCATAGCAGAGAGCTGGTTGGAAGAGGAGCAGCCAGGACATGAACCAGTGCCCAAATGGGATACCGGTGCTGCAGGCGGAGGCTTAGCCTACTATGCCACATTGCTGGACCCTGTAGTATAAATCTTTTTCCTATTATACCCCCAGGATGATTTTCCCGTTTTTCCTTGTGTATCATTTTTTCTTCATTTTAAATTCTTTCTGTTTTGTTCATATGTACTTTTCCAGGGGAAATTTATCACAGTTTAGTTTCCAATTGATACTAATACCTTTTTTTGAATATATTCTGTCTATTAACATTAGAATGGCTTTCAAAGAAACTGAAAACATTAATTCTAGTCTTTAAGCATTTTAGCAATTATTATTTAATGTAAAATTAGATAGTAATCTTTTTTTACTTTAATTTTGCAATTCTCATCATTAAGTGGAATGAATTATTCACATCATTGCAGTTAAGTAAGGAGGAGGTAACAATTCATTGCTTTTACCACAATGTAGTTATTCTGTAGTTGGATGTGTAGTATTAATTTACTAAGAAGTTTTTGTTTCATCCTTAAGTGATGAAGAGCATATTCAATTTTATTAAGAAGTTCATTCTTTAAAAAGAATACAGCAACTTAAAGTTACTTAATCATAGGCAACTTTTGATGTACTTATGCTAAGTACATCAGAAAATCCTGTGGGTTATCCATTTAAAAAAATTTAATACAATGCTACCATCACTTACTTCATGCTTCTGACTGCTGGTAGAATAAAACATTTACATTAACCAAACAAATCAATCCTGATAGGATAACTGTGGCAGGAAAAAAAATAGATTCCAAAGCTAAATATATTTTTTATTATACCTTTGATATATCATTTGTAATCAGAAATTCCCTTTTAAAACTTGAGCTTTTTAATGTAATATATTGGCATGTTAAATTTTAGAGTATGTGACAGTCTTTCTTACTTATCTTTGAATTGAAACTTCTTAAGAATGTCAAGTTGATTTATGAGGACAAATAAGTAATATTAAGAGAAAATAGTTGTACCATTACTTGGGGTTTTATTTTTAAGGTGAAAATCTTTGAAAAGGTCATAAAAATGATGTTCTGGGGGTAGGGATTACCAAACCATGACCTGTGGTCAAATCCAGTAGTTGCACGTTTCTGTAAATAAAGTTTTATTGTGGCACGGTGTCACTCATTTATATACATATGTCTATGGCTACGTTCGTGCTCCGGTTGAGTCAAGTAGTGGTAAAGAGGCTATATTGCCTGAAAAGGGTAATATATTTACTATTTGGACTTTTACTGACAACATTTGCTAACCCTGTTCTGTATACTTTGATACTAGAAGAGGCATTTGAATAGAGAAGTAGCATAGTGTTGTAGTATAACAGAATACCATATTTAAAATTAATATCTGCTGCTTTGCGTGATAATTTATGAATAATGAGGCCTTGCGTGATTTGTTTATTTCTTAGGGAATCTCAGTTACCTACTTATAAAGTAAGAATTAGTTTTAAAAAATTTTTTATAGCTGTGAAATCTTGTAACTCTAAGTGCCTGCTGGGATAAAAGGTCTTTTGAAGTCTTTTGTAACTTGAAATTCATGATTATATGTGACAAATAGATTTGTTTTCTTTATTTTAGCCTGATAGACTACAGCAGTTTAGTGTGGCACCAAGACACTTTGAAGAGATGATTCCTCCTGAAAGACCTAGAGTAGCTTTCCAGACACCTCTCCCTCCTTTATCTGCCCCATCTGTCCCACCCATCCCACCACTTCAGTCTGTTCCATCTCAAAATGAAGATTTATACAGTGGACTCAGCAGCACCCTTGGTGAAATGGTGCCTCCCAGGTGCATGTTTAAAATATTTTGTGTTTGGGAATTCGGTAAGGTATTTTTTTTTGTTTTATACTCAGAAGGATGTGCTAAAGCAGATGATATCTTTCAAATATTCTGTACAATTAGTAGTTTTATCATATAATTTCTCTGGAAATTGGCTTCACTGTTGTCTTTCTACACAGGAAATCTTTATAATGTTCTTTTTATTATTTAAAGATTTAGTATTTTGAGATTGAGTGTATCTTAAAACTTAGTTTTAGGTCATATCTACTTTTAGTGTCTTTTAATATGCAAAAACTAGACTTTTCTCAATTTTGTTATTTCCACTTGGCAAACATTGAATTCTTCCTTCAACATATACAGAAAAAGTTTCTAATGTTACTCTTCTATACATGCAATTATATTTTCACTCCTTTTTCCTTTAACTCTTTCTCTTTGATTACTTATGGGCTATGCAACTCAAATGCCTGTAATAAAAAGTATGGATGATTATAAAACCTGTAACTGAGGCATGGATGTAAAAATTTGAGTTCAACAGGAAATAAGCATCATGCTGTGGAAAATCGTATTAACATTGATACCTGTGCTATGCTTTGCTTCGTTGTAGGACATGAGCTAATTTTTGGCTCAGTTAAGGTGCTATTTATAGGAATGTATTTAAATTTACAGGTGTTTTGTTAACTTTTTTGAATGTTGACATTTCTGGGTTACATTTCCTTCCTGCAGAAGGATTTGTTCTTTTATTCACTACTAACAGATCATAGAATTGTATTTACTGTTATCTGGGGCTTTGTTTAATCTTACAACTTCCCAATTGGAAAGACTTCGAGGAATTTGCAATTACAGAGCATTGGATGGTGGTATTAGCTTTGGATTAGGTAGTTACTGAAGTGGTTGCATTTGCTGTCTGGAGTTTGGAAAAACCACACCTTTGTTGAACTTCAGTTTTCTAATTTGTAAAAAAGTGCAATAATTATATGTATTTTTATAATCAATTACAGAGTTAAGATTAAATCTTGTATAAATCTATAAAATTTATGATTTAGTGATGACAGATGCTCCCTGTTAAAACAGTCACTTTCCTTCTTTGTTGATACATCTTGGAAGTGAAGATTAAGGTTGCACACCTTAAATGACACGAAACGTGATAGAATATTCACTGCTAGAGAGAACTTTAATCCTGAGCACTTCAGAATTATTTTGAAGTATATGACAAGGAAAAATGTGTTGTTAAGATACACATAAAAGTGAAAATACTCTAGGGAGTCTTTTTCATCTAAACTTAAAAGGAATTCACCTTTGCCACTTTTTCCACTGGAAAATAATGCATTGGTGGAACTAGAGATGCTTTCTTATTAGTAATGAAATGTTGAAGTAGAGGCTTTCAGAAGTTTTAAATTTATGAAATACTGGAGATTTTATCAAAAATGTCAAACTGTTAATGTTGAAGTCATCTTAATATCACATTGTGATTGACTTCCTGTGAAAGAGCAATACATTTTTTCTATTTTTTGTAAAGATTTATTTTGCCTATTTGTAAGTCAGAGTTACAGAGAGGTAGAGACAGAGAGATCTTCCATCCCTGGTTCACTCCCCAGATGGCTGCAATGGCTGGGTCTGGGCCAGCCAGGAGCCGGGGGCTTCCTCTCAATCTCCCACTTGGGTGCAGGGGCCTAAGCACCTGGGTCATCCTCCACTGCTTACACAGGTGCATTAGTCAGGAGCTATACCGGAAATGGAGCAGCTTTGACTTGAACCATTGTCTATATAGGTTGCTGGATTTGCAGGCAGCAGCTTTACCTGTTAGGCCACAGCGCTGGCCCTAACAATGCATTGTATAATTTAAAAATACACCCTTTCCCCCAAACAGAACTGTGTGTAACCATGGGGTTTTGCAGCTGTGTGCCTTTGCTTGGATTGTTCTTCCTTTACCTGTGGCTAGCTCACTCTAGTAACATGGCTCAAACACTACCTGTCCTGGAAAACCTTCCTTCTGCTCTACTCCTCTCCCTTATGAGATTGAAATGTCAGTGCTCTGGTGTTCTATAGGACTCTGTTTCTGTTGTTTCATTTACTTGGCTCTAATTGTTTATTTCTGTTTTATTCCTGAAGGACAGACACCAGGCCCATCTTTGGTTGTTATTGACTCAGGTTATTGGTATTAATTGATTATTAATTGAAATTTTTGTCTTGCATCGGTATTGTACCTGAAATTGTGGATTTTTACTCTGTATTACTTGCTTTTTGAGTCATAAGTTTTGATGAGTGATTGGAGCAAGATAGTGGCTTTTTCAAAAGTAGGGGTTGTATTTTCAGTAATTTTTTATAGAAGAATAATACCTTGACTTTTAAAATTGCAGTAAAGTATGAGAAGAATTTTTCATTTTTCTTTTGATACAGGATTGCACCTCTGCCTCCACCTCCCCTAATACCACCTTTGGCTACTAACTACAGAACTCCTTATGATGATGCCTACTATTTTTATGGTGCCAGAAATACTTTGGATCCCAGTATTGCTTACTGTAAGTTATCTATAGGGTAAACATTTATTTTCAAGTGGTTTAATAAGAAAGATGGTTTTCTGTGCAAGTAAAAATACACAGAAAAGCACAACTTCAGTTAATTCAGGTATTTTTAAAATTAATGATATCAATCCCATTTTATTAACAATTTTTTATTTTCATTTTATTGGAGAGTGAGACAGAGCTCTCCTGTCATCTGGTTCACTTCCCAACTGCCTGAAATAGCCAGGCCTGGGCCAGGCCAAAGCCAACAGCCCAGAACTTTATCTGGATCTCCCATATGAATAGCAGAGACTCTCAAGTGCTTAAGCAATCATTTACTGCCTCCGGGATGTGCATTTACAGGAAGCTAGAATGGAAACAGAGTTGCTGGGACTTGAACCAGGAACTCTGATGTGTGATGGGAGCATCACAAGTTGTGACTTAAGCTGCTGCACCAAATGCTTGCCTCTAGTACCTATTTTAAAGCCTATTTATATTTATAATTATTTCTTTTTACATCTGGATTTAAAAATTAACTATTTTGTGTTTTCTTGCATTATTCTGTGCTAACTCCTAACCTGGGGTATATATTGATACTTTCCTTGAAGTAGTGGTTTTATTATTTACTTTTCCTTTAGGAATAAAGTGTTGTCAAATGGGTACTCTGAAATAGATTTTTTTTTGTCTTTTAAGATGGAGTACAGCCTGCAGCTTATGTTAGTGCTCCTGTCACCCGCCAAGTAGCACAACCTATTGTGTAAGTCCTTAGTTCAAAGAATTTTTCTGTTTTTTCTTTTTATTATTTTAACCATTTTTAGGTATTCTGTTCAGTAGTTTTTAATAAATTCATAATGTTGTACAACTGCCATCAGCGTACATCTCCAGAATTCTTTTCATCTTGTGAACCAAAGTTGTAGACATTAAATAGTAATATTGTAACACCCATTTTCCCTTCCCTTCATTCCTTAGGAACCACCATTTTATTGTCTGTCTTGGTCTTTTGTTTTTTGTTTTTATTTTTATTATTTTTAAGATTTTTATTTATTTGCATGTCATAGTTTTACACACACACACACATACACACAGAGGGAGGAAGGGAGGGAGGGAGGGAGGTCTCTCTGTCTTCCTTCCGCTGGTTCACTCCCCAATTGGCTACAACGGCTGGAGCTGCACTGATCCGGAGCCAGGAGCTTCCTCCGGGTCTCCCACATGGGTGCAGAGGACTGAGGACTTGGGCCGTCTTCTACTGCTTTCCCAGGTCATAGCAGAGAGCTGGCTAGGAGCAGCTGGAACTCGAACTGGCACCCATATGGGATGCCAGCACTGCAGGTGGTAGCTTTACCCGCTATACCATAGTGCCAGCCAGCCCCTGTTTATTTGTTTTTGTCTTTAGATAATTAATTAGTTGTTAATCAAATAGTTTGAGAGAGAGAGAATTCTCATCTGTAACTCATTCCCCAAATGTCTACAGTGTTTGATACTGGGCCATTCTGAAGTTGGGAATGGGATCAAGCTGTCTTTTATGTGAGTTGCAGAGATCCAGCCACTTGGACCATCACCTGCTGCCTACCAGGGTATGCATTAAAAGGAAGCAGGGGGGCTGGCGCCATGATGCAGTAGGCTGCACTAATACTCTGCCTGCGGCGCCCCCATCCCGTATGGGCACTGGTTCTAGTCCCGGTTGCTCCTCTTCCAATCCAGCTCTCTGCTGTGGCCTGGGAAGGTAGTAGAGGATGGCCCAGGTTCTTGGGCCTCTGTACCCACATGGGAGACCAGGAAGAAGCACCTGGCTCCTGGCTTTGGATTGGCGCAGCTCCGGCTGTTGCGGCCATCTAGGGAGTGCACCAGCGGAGGGAAGACCTTTCCCTCTGTCTCTCTCTCTGTCTAATTCTACCTGTTAAATAAATAAATAAAATCTTAAAAAAAAAAAAAAAAAAAAAAAGGAAGCAGAAATGGAGGCAGAGCCAAGGCTTGTACACAGGTAGTCTGATCTGGGACAGGGCCTCTTAACTGCTAAGCCAAACACTTTCCCCTGACTTAGTCCTTTGGAGTAGTCCAAGTACCACATATGTGGAAAATTATGTAATATTTGTCTTTTTGTGACTGGCTTATTTCACTTAATATCCTCAGGGTTCATCCATATTGTACCATATGTTCAAATTTCCTTCCTTTAAGGCTGAATAATAACACATCATGTGTGTGTGTTTTATTTTTTCCTTATTCATTCATCCATCAGTGTACACTCGAGTTACTTTTATGTTTTTAGTTACTGCAATAATGCTGTTGTGAATCTTGAGTGCACAAATATTTCTTTGAGATCTAATTTTAAGGATTGTGGTGTTATATGATAATTCTTATTTAGTTTTATGAGGATCTGCCATACTGTCTTCCATAATAGTTGTAACATTTCTGCATTCCCAGCAACAGCATAGAGGATCCAGTTTTCTTCCACATTATTGCCACACTTGTTATTTTCTATTTTTTTTGATACTAGTAATCCTAATGGGCATATAAGGTGATATCTCTTGATGTTTTTGACTTGCATTTCCCCAATAATTAGTGATGTTGGGCATCCTTTCATGTGCTTATTGGCCATTTATATATCTTTGGTGATATATGTATTCCAGTAACTTGTCCATTTTTGAATTGGTATGTTTGTGTTTTATTGTTGAATTTCATTTAGGTTTTCTCAATATATTCTGGATATTTTATGATACCTTATCAGATAAAGGATTTGAAAATATTTTCTGTGATTTTGTCAATCACCTTTTTACTCTGTTGTCTTTTGATGCACAGAAGTTTTAAAATTTTCATGGAGTCCATTTTATCTTTTTTTGACTCATGCCTTTGGTGTAATATCCAAGAAATAATTGACAAATCTAATATTTTGAAACTTTCGCCCTATGTTTGGTTTTGAGTTATATAGATTTAGGTCTTCCTTGAGTTCTTTGATTAATTTTGGTTTACTTTTTCTATGTGGTGTTTGGTAAGGTGTTAGGTTTGCTTCATTATTTTTCCCAGCACCATTTGATAAAAGCACTGTCCTTTTTCCAGTGAATTTTTTTGGCATCCTTGTTAAAAATCATTTGACCATATATACAAGGTTTGTTTCTGGGTTCTTTGTTCTGTTCTTTCTGGTTATATGTCTGTCTTTATCCCATTACCACATTGTTTTGAATACTGTAGCTTTGCAGGTTTTGAAATCAGAAAATATAGGTCCTCCAGATTTATTCTTTTTCAATACAGTTTTGGCTATTAGTCGCCTCTTGAAATTCCATATGAATTTTAGGCTCAGTTTTTCTATTTCTGTAAAGCAATTAGTTTGCATTCTGATAAGAATTACATTTAATTTGTCGAGTTGGGATTGTACTGACATTTTAACAACATTGTCTTCTAAATCTGTGAGTATAGGCTGTGTTTTCATTGGTTTATGTTTTCTTTAATTTCTTTCAGCAGTGTTTTGTTTTCTTTGTAGATGTCTTCCTTCTTTGGTTAATTGGCAAGTATTTTATTCCTTTTGATGGTATTGTAAATGGAATTGTTTTCATAATTTCTTTTTTAAGATTTTATTTAATTGAGAGGTAGAGTTACAGACAGAGGGATAAACAGAGAGAACAGTTTTCTATCTGCTGGTTCACTCCTTAAATGGCTGCAATGGCCAGAGCTGATCTGATCCAAAGCCAGGAGCTTCTTCGGGGTTTCCTATATGAGTGCAGGGGCCCAAGCGCTTGGGCCATCTTCCAGTGCTTTCCCAGGCCATAGCAGCGAGCTGGATTGGAAGCAGATCTGCAGAGACTAGAACCAGCACACATATGGGATGCCAGCACTGCAGGTGGAGGATTAACCTGTGTTACAACACTGATCCCTTTTTCATAATTTCTTTACAAATAGTTCATTGTCAGTTTATAGAAATGCAACTGATTTTTGTGTGTTGACTTGTATCCTGCTGCTTTGCTGAATTCATTTGTTATTTCCAGCAGGTTTTTGTTTGTGTAAGATCCTATCATCTATGAACAGAGATAATTTCACTTCTCCCTTTCCAATTTGAGTGATTTTTATTTCTTTTTCTTAGTAAGTTAATCTGGGTAGAACTCCCAGTACTCTGTTGAATAGAAATGGTAAAAATGGGCACCCTTGCTATACTCCTTTAATGAGAGAAAAAGCTTAAGTGTTGTTTGCTGTGGAATTTTAATATAATGCTTTTTTTTGTATTGTTTTGCTGTGTTAATGTAGTTTCCTTCTATCCCTAGTTTTTTTTTTTTTTTTTTTTTTTTTTAAAGATTTATCTATTTATTTGAAAGAGAGAGAGGGAGAAACACAGATCATCCATCTGCTGGTTTATTCCTCAGATGGCCACAATGGCCAGGGTTGGTGCAGGCCAAAACCATGAAGCCAGGAGTTTCTTCTAAGTCTCCTATGTGGGTAGCAGGGACCCAAACACTTGGACCATCTTCCGCTGCTCTCCCAGGACATTAGCAGGGAGCTGGATGGGAAGTAGAGCAACTGTGACACAAACTGGTGCCCATATGGAATGCCAGCATTTCAGGTAGCGACTTCCCACTAATGCTACAACTCCAGCTCCAGTGTTTTTTGTTTTTAATTGTGAAAGGATGTTGAGTTTTTTCAAGTGCTTTTCTGTGTCATTTGTGATGCTTTTGTGTTTTAATCCTTTATTCTATTAATGGCGTACATTGATCAGTTTTTTTATGTTGAACCATCCTTGTATCTGGGAAGAAATGCACCTTCTTCATGATATATAATCATTTTAATATGCTGCTGAATTTAGTTTGCTGTTTTGTTGAAGAGTTTTACATTGATTTTTTAAAGAACATTATTTTGTTCTAAAGTTTTCTTGTAGTGTTTTTGGTTTTGGCAATACTGGCCTCTGAGAATGAGTTCAGAAAGGGTTCTCTTCTGTTTTTTTTGGAAAAGTTTAAAAATAGTTGTTAGGTTTTCTTTAAGTGTTTGGTAGAGGGGTCGGTGTTGTGGCATAGTGAATGCTCTAGAAAATCCATCAGGTCTAGGACTTTTGTTTCTTGGGAGATCTTTGATTCCTGATTTTCTCTTTTTGGCAGATGTTGTCATGCAAGTGTTGGTAGTTTTCTGTTACAGTTCTCTTAATTTTGTAAGATTAATAATGATAGGCCTCTTTTATTTCTGATTAATGGAAGACTAATAGTCTTTTCTTGGTTGGTTTAGCCAAACATTTATCAATATTACTGACCTTTTCTAAGAATTAACTCTTGATTTTACTGTTTATTTTTTTTTTTCCTTTGGTGGTGGTAGTTTCCATTTCATTGATTTCTGCTTTCATCTTTTTAACTTCCTTCCTTTCTGCTTACTTGGAGGTCACAGGGTTGGTTGAGTACTCTGCCTCCCATTAGTACTCCAAGCCGGACTCAAAGTCCTGTATCATTTTGTTGTTGTTGTTGTTTGCTTTGTTTTAAAGATTTTATTTATTTGAGACTTTGAGTTACAGGGGTTGGTGATCACAGAAAGTTCTTCCATCAGCTGGTTCACTCCCCAAATGGCTGCAATGGCCATAGCTGTGCTGATCTGAAGCCAGGAGATTCTTCGGGGTCTCCCATGTGGGTGCAAGGGCTCAAGGATTTGGATGATCTTCCTCTGCTTTCCCAGGCATTTCAGCAGGGAGCTAGACTGAAAGTGGAACAGCCGAGATTTGAACTGGCGCCCACATGGGATGCTGGCACTGCAGGCAGCAGCTTTACCTGCTATGTTATAGCACCGGCCCCCAAA